AGCTGGACCTGGCACCCAGACCACTTCATTAAGCTTAAGTGGTCTGGGTGCCTATAGTGGTACTTTAAGGCTGTTCAATTTACTAAAGAAAAGGAGCAATTGCTAGAAAATATGTTCCTCTATAGTTTTTGTTTAGGGTGCTAAACACTAAACACTTGTTTAGTGTTTTTTTTATAACTATAGGGTCAAGAATACATGTTTGTGTTCCTGACCCTATAAAGTGAGTTCATAGGTTTGTGGTTCATTAAATGTCCTGTTAGAATGATAATTTTGAAATCTGAAATATAGTCTTTCATGTACTGAGGAACTGCTCTATTTCTGTTAGAGTAACCTGCACCATGATCATTTGTTTGACCATTTTCCTCACTTTCTGGAGTTTGGGTTTCTTCTGAACACTCTACTTAAGCATCATTTGCTCTCAGTACCAAAGGTATAATAGTCCTCTGATGCTCCATTGCTTATTGCTCCCTCTACACAGAAGATGACTTAAAGGTATGACTGTATATACTTCGGTTTCTAGCACTCTATTTATTTTACTGCCAAATGGGCAAATCTCTGCACCAGCTTTCTTCAGTGCCACACCGGCTGTCTTTTCCCAATCTGCAAGCTCCATGAAGTGTTGCTCTTGCATAGAGGTGTTATCAATGTTTTTGAATTTTCTAATGTTAACAATTATGTGGGATGTTGTCCCTGTGTCAACCATTAACCCTTTGGGTATTAGTCCATTAAGTTGGTCATCTCTTATTTTGAAATCATAGGAGTGTCTGTTATTATGGTTATCTGCTGCTTTATCTCTTTTCTTGTGCCTACAATCTGCATCTCCATGCATTGCTCTGTTACCAGGGCCGGCATTCAGCCCGGGCGTTTTTTTTTTTTTTTATCACAGCAGCATAGTTGGAAGGGAGCGGTGCCAGAGATGGGGTTGTTGTGTCATTACCTATGACAAGTACGCCACACTCAAAGCACACACCCACTCAAAGCATGTTGGTGCAATGCCCTTTCTGAGCAGCCCATGCACACAGCCCTGTTAAGAGCTCTTGCATGAGAAAAAGACCCTGTATTTGTTATGTGCAGCGCAAAAAATTTAATGACACACTTGCGCTGCGGTTGACTTGTCTCTGGTGTCTCCATCAGTGGGATACCAGAAAACAAAAGGACCAAGAATGTGTTTTTTTTAAAAGTGTTTGGAGGCTGCTTGTGTGATAGAGTGAGCTGATTGAGGTGTGGTGTTTTGTGTAAATAGGTTGGTTTCTGTTGTGTTTGTAATGTAATAGGTGCGGCATAAGGGTTGCAGTAAGTGTGTGCATAGGGAATCTAGTGTGCGCATGTTTAGAGAAGATAGTGTGTGTGTTTGCATACAGGGATTCCAGTGTATTTTATGGCTCTAGAGTGTGTGTATAGAGAATATAGTGTGTGGATGGGGTGCAGAGTGTATGTGTGTGTGTTTGTGTGAGGGGTGCAGAGTCTGTGTGTGAGGGATGCATTGTGTTGGTGGTATAAAGTCTATTATGAGATTGGGGAGTAAGGAGCAATTATAGTTTATTTTAAAAAAAGTTGGCATTTGCCCGGTTTGCCAGACGGCCAGTCCAAGCCTGGCTGTTACGGTAGTTTCACCATAGTGACTAGCTACCATTTTGATTCTCGTAGCTTGCTCTGGCCCTGAGCCCTCTTTTAGGGCCGCCATCAGGGCATGACAACCGCAACGGTTGTCATGGGCCCGGCGGTCCTGGGGGGCCCGGACTGCTCAGGTCGTCCAGGCCCCAGATTCAGTGGGTACATACCGGGTCGCAGGGGCCCTGCGACCCGGTATGTACCCACAGGGCCAGCCTCTTCTCCTGGGGGGCCCAGCAGGGCCC